TGAAGATAGAGATTGCAGACTGATAGTCTCTGTGAGGCGGTTACAGGTATCTGATCATGCCTTGTAAAGTTGTCTAGCCTTTAAAGAATGTATGCCACCCCCAGAACAACCAGTGAACTTCATGACTGAACAAAGGTGTTGCTGTTGTTGTTGTTTTGTAGACTGAGCAGGGATTTGAACCAGGACTCCCTGATCCACATAAACTCTCCACCACTTATGCCATACTGGGTCTTGCATTGTTCAGTTCCTTGGGCAAACTAGTGTGATTAAAATTACAACGTATCCCTCTTGATTTAATTAACTGAGAGCTATTTTTACTGTAGCCCAATATCCATGCCAAATACCTTGAGACACTAATGACAGTAAGATAGCTTTAACAGCTTGTTAATAAACATAAGCAGGGTTCCATTTAACTTATTGGGCATACATCTGAATAGGCATATACAAGATCACACTGTTCATTTTATTAATGTTATTATGATGTGTGCATTTTCTCTTATACCTGATCAGGAAATGGCATGGAAGAGAGTTGGAGGGGAACCTTCCACTCTGGGGTGAAAAGCAATGACTGGCTGTGTGCTCAACCTTTCAGAGTTCTTCCACTATAATACAGAAAACCAGGATAATACCCACTGGAAGTTGAGTGGCACTGGTGTAAACTAATGCGGGAGACGAGAATCGAGGCTGTTTGAATCTAAAAGAGAAACTGAGAGATAGAGCAAAGGAATATCTCCCTTGAGGACAAACAACTCTTTATCTATAATGAAAATCAGAACACTTTCGTTTTCGTCCTGGAAAGAAGGGCTCATTGTCTCCAGAAATGCCATTCCCGTTCATTACATTTTGAACAATGTAATCACGTTCATAAAAATTTTGCTGACATGCTCCGTCGTGTAGCCCAACCCTCGGCAATTAATACGCTCATTGTTTGATACAGATAGCTATAAACCACTGTAATTGCTAAGCTTGTTTGATGAGAAAATAAAATTATTTCATTTTGTGAAGCATGCAAAAGGCTTGGTTCAGAATGGTGGATTTGTTCAACTTGAACAGACAATGGGTAAGAAAACATTTTTAGATCTGAAAAGCAGAGGGATGGGCAGGAGGAACAATGGCCGATGTTTTCAAAAAATGTCCTAGCTCAGCTGAGGCAGGTTTAGCTCATAGTCTCTATATTGTGAAAGCCATGTAATTTGTAGCATAAGAAGCCTTGTATCTCCTGGTGAATTTATGAATCACAAGCACATTGTAACTGAAGAAGTGACAGCGTATGAATGATGAATGCATTATTCAGCCAATCCACCGGGTGGTGATCAGGAAGAGGAATGGAGGGTCCCTACAATTAACAGAGGCGGTCACTTTCAGAGGATACAGAATACTAAATGATTCAACAAGAGTGGGAATTGTTATTGGGCTCCACCTCTCATTGGCCCCAACCCATATGACAAAAGGTCAGGGATGATGGGAGCTGGAGTGCAACAAGATCTGGAGGGCCACAGGTTGCCCACTTCTGCAATGCAGGGACTGTGCTTGGATAGGGGTTAATAGCACCCAGAAGTGGTGCAGAATGGTGACGTCATTGTATCTGCACAATAGCACCTGCATCAGGCAGCCCCAGCCCATTGCTGCCTTTGCAGCTAGGAAGCAACACCCGCTAATAAAAACAGGGGAGGCCTTTCCTTCTTGGTCACCAATGCAAAGGCCTTAAACAGCTGTGTGATGTAGGAAAACCTTTGTGAGTAAACACTCTTATTCTTATTTCTTATCATCAATAATCGGTCAATAAGATAGGTTAGGGTGTGTCAGGATGCTGTCAGCAGCTCCCAGCTGGTTGCCCAGGAAAGTATAAAGACAAGGGAAATTTTCTTACCGTCCTTTTTTATTTCGGTCTATACAGAGAGAGGCTATAGAACCCAGCCTCTTGGATAATGGTGTTGTCCCAAGTGAATCTCCACCCCACTTCTCTCCCACTTCCTAATTCGTTGTCGTCGTCATCTCCTCTATGGGTGCTGCTCTGTCTTTGAGCTCTTTGCTCTCCTACATTTAAGGCTCACAGGGCTCTGGGAGATGGAGAGTCTGGAATGCTTTCTAATGACAGCGTGTCAGCTGGGTGTTGTTCTAGCTCTCCCATGATTTCCCAACTTTTCCCTTCATCTGCCTCTGAGCTGCTCAAACCCCTGTTATAAATCTATACTGTCTTCCTCTTCCTCTTCCCTGGAAGGGTCAGGATGGGGAGGTGGTCTCCACCATTCCTCCTCTGCCCAGTCCCTAACAATTAGTTTTCTTTAACAGTGGAAGCAGGTTTTTGGATTATATGGAGCTCTTCTTCAGGCTTTGATTATGAGAGCAAAAAATAAACATCCAATAGTCTAGATAGAAACCACTGGGTAGTCAGGCTGATGGTTACTTGGTTGCAGAAGTTTACTGGCCATTGCTGTTGGCATGGAGATAGTCTAGGTTGAATGCAAACATGTATCCATCAAATAATCAACTTGATGTGTGACTTTGGGTCTGATTCATAGAACCACATTTCCTTTCTCCACTCTATAGCAGTTTTTTTTTTCTGTATTTGAAAAAAAAAACAGCCAAGAAGGAGAAGATAAGGAACCAGGAATAAGATCTGGATGAGTATGGTGAGGATCTAAGTTTTACAAGAGAGGGGGCTAGGAAGATGGCTTTGTGGTCCAACATAGGGATGATGAGTGCTTTGTATTATTGAATTCCTGTTTCACAAAGAAGAAACCACAAAGAAGTCTTTGAGTTTTTTGTTCTCATAATTTTAAAGCATGCTGGGTTCTAGGAGATGGAGGGTCTGGAATGCTTTCTAATGATGTGTCTGGCAGGTGTTGTTCTGGCTCTCCCATGATTTCCCAACTTTTCCCTTCATCTGCCTCTGAGCTGCTCAAACCCCTGTTATAAATCTATACTGTCTTCCTCTTCCTCTTCCCTGGAAGGGTCAGGATGGGGAGGTGGTCTCCACCATTCCTCCTCTGCCCAGTCCCTAACAATTAGTTTTCTTTAACAGTGGAAGCAGGTTTTTGGATTATATGGAGCTCTTCTTCAGGCTTTGATTATGAGAGCAAAAAATAAACATCCAATAGTCTAGATAGAAACCACTGGGTAGTCAGGCTGATGGTTACTTGGTTGCAGAAGTTTACTGGCCATTGCTGTTGGCATGGAGATAGTCTAGGTTGAATGCAAACATGTATCCATCAAATAATCAACTTGATGTGTGACTTTGGGTCTGATTCATAGAACCACATTTCCTTTCTCCACTCTATAGCAGGTTTTTTTTTCTGTATTTGAAAAAAAGAACCAGGAATAAGATCTGGATGAGTATGGTGAGGATCTAAGTTTTACAAGAGAGGGGGCTAGGAAGATGGCTTTGTGGTCCAACATAGGGATGATGAGTGCTTTGTATTATTGAATTCCTGTTTCACAAAGAAGAAACCACAAAGAAGTCTTTGAGTTTTTTGTTCTCATAATTTTAAAGCATGCTGGGTTCTAGGAGATGGAGGGTCTGGAATGCTTTCTAATGATGTGTCAGGCAGGTGTTGTTCTGGCTCTCCCATGATTTCCCAATTTTCCCCCTCATCTGCCTCTGAGCTGTGACCTTCCACAAAACCCTGTTGTAAATCTACCATTCCTCCCCATCTGCTCAGTCCCTGATAGGGTGACAGGTACCAAAGATAACTTTTCAGTGGTGGCCACATCCTTCTGGAATGTGATCCCCCAGGAACTACACAGTCATGATATTGAAAAAGACTCTCAAGACATTTTTCAATTAATTCTTATCAAGAACTGTGTCTCACTGTTCTGCTCCTCATCTTAGAGGGGTATAATTATTTTAAATCATGGTGTTTATGTGGCTCTGTGATGAGTTTGGGACACTGTCTTGTGACAACAGTTTCCCCAAAAGGTAGGATATCAATCTGTTTAAAAAAATAAAACAAAAGAGTTGCTTTTCTATCTCCATAGCCACCTCTTACATTTATCATATTATACACCGGGTTTTAGCCAGTGTTGGAAATCAACATAGTCTATGCCACTGAATGAATATCAGTGAAAGGGTGAGGTAAACATACCTTTAAGGTTATACTAGCCATATTTCCAGGGACGCGGGTGGCGCTGCGGGTTAAACCACAGAGCCTAGGACTTGCCGATCAGAAGGTTGGCGGTTCGAATACCCGCAACAAGGTGAGCTCCCGTTGCTCGGTCCCTGCTCCTGCCAACCTAGCAGTTTGAAAGAATGTCAAAGTGCAAGTAGATAAATAGGCGGGAAGGTAAACGGCATTTCTGTGCAGTGCTCTGGTTCGCCAGAAGCGGCTTAGTCATGCTGGCCCCATGACCCGGAAGCTGTACGCCGGCTCCCTCGGCCAATAAAGTGAGATGAGCACCACAACCCCAGAGTCGGTCACAACTGGACCTATTGGTCAGGGTTCCCTTTACCTTTACCTTTACCTTTAGCCATTTTTCCAACATGAGGCAACCAAAATAAATACATAGAAAAGTGATTTTATGTGTGATTGACTAACTTTATATATGTGACCTTAAACAATAATGATTATTCTGGAACTCTTATCATTTGACAGACTATTGTAATAATGAAAAAGAATCCTTTGCACTAAAATGTCTGACTTAAGCATTCTGTTAGGAACATTAAATTTACTCTAGCTCACCCCCCCCACAAAATGCTGAAGTGTTAACTCAAAAGAGCCAACTGCAATGCCAAGAGGGTCATGAAGCCAATTTTCATATAATAAGAGATTCGGTGTATTGCCAGTTTTTCTCGGCTCAGATAAATCATGCTTTATATCTTTATCATTAGGGGTTAGGTTAATTAGCCTTCTGTCTTATCTTAATTTTATAACTATGGTTTGTCCTCAGCAGGAAGCCATCAAGAAGCGGCATAACCAGGCCCAATGGACAATGAGTCATAACAGAAAGGAACTGGAAATGATACATTTCAAAGATTGAATAGTTACTACCAGAGGCAAGGTGTGTTAGATCAGTTGGTTTGAGTGTGATGTTGATAATGCCAAGGCTGTAGGTTCGATCCCTGTATGAGACAGCTGCCTATTCCTACATCGCAAGGGGTTGGACTAGATCAGGGTTCCTTCCAGATCTACAATTCTATGATTCTATGACTCAAGTAAGAATTGCAGTGGACCTAAAGTGCTAAGGCTTGCTTTTTGTTTTGACAAGAGACATTGATCATTTAAAAGTTCATACTGTGAGGGAGCTCCAGTCTCTGTTGTGGCCAAGTCGATTATGCCAAAATGGGTATTTTACAATTGTTGAGGTTTTGTTATGTGGAGAAAGCTGAGTTACTTGGGTAAGGCATCTCCACCTGCATTTCTTGTATACTCACTACAGTATGTAAAGAACCAGGGCTGTCCATATAAGAGAAATTAATTTAATCCTGCTGCAATTGCTTGGCAGTTACCTCTGCTTCCCTTGCCTAGACCTCTGGATTAAATTTGATTTACCTGAAGTGCTGCAAGTATGTTCTCATGTGGTAACCATATGAAAACTGCTATAACATGCTGAAATCATGTATGAGTGGGGCAATATTCACTGAAAGGCTTCAGGGATAGCTCCTGTATATAATCATGACTTGCCCTGTGCAAATTAGCAGAATCCATGTTTCCTCCCAGGTAAGAGTGAAAACCCTTTATTTTAAATCAAAACAAAGAAGTGTATTTTATGTGCCGTCTTATACCTCACAGAGATGCCTGTGGGGATAATCTGACTGCAATAATAATAATAATAATAATAATTTATTATATCCCACCCATCTGGCTAGGTTTCCCCAGCCACTCTGGGTGGCTCTCAGCAGAATATTAAAGCCTGATAAAACATCAAACATTAAACTTCCCTAAACAGGGCTGCCTTCAGATGTCTTCTAAAAGTCAGATAGTTGCTTATTTCCTTGACATCTGATGGGAGGGTGTTCCACAGGGCAGGCGCCACTACCGAGAAGGCCTTCTGCCTGGTTCACTATAGCTTCACTTCTCACAACGAGGGAACCGCCAGAAGACCCTCGGAGCTGGACCTCAGTGTCTGGGCTGAACAATGGGGGTTGAGATGCTCCTTCAGGTCTATGAGGTAGCTCTTCATCCTGTCACCCATGTCATGAAGTAGTGATCCTGTGAGCAGGTATCGCTGGGTCGGGCACCCCAGGCAGGTGGTAAGTATTTGTCCCCAAAATGGGAGCATGTGATCAGGTGGCTGGTTGCCAGCATTCCCCAGCCCCTATAAATCTTTAAGTTAACTTGCAAGGGAGAAAGGGAACAAGCCTTGTATTAGACTTGCTGTTTGATGTTCTGTAGTTGGTGCCAGAGAAGAAGCCTGATAACCCATTCAGTGCCTGCTTGTGACTGATTAGTAGCTTGGAGGGAGGACTTGGGAAAGCGACCCCCTCCTTGACAACCCATACTGAAGTAGGTTCACCATTACAAAGTAATGCAGACTTGAACCAAAGAGAGCCAGATTAAGCGTGGTCTCTTTCTGTGGGCAAAATTATGTGCATATATTATTAGCAGTGCTTTCTTTTCACAGGGTTATCAAGGGTAAGGTAAAAGGTAAAGGACTCTTGGATGGTTAAGTGCAGTCAAAGGTGACTATGGGGTTGTGGCGTTCATCTTGCTTTCAGGCCGAGGGAGCCAGTGTTTGTCCACAGACAGCTTTCCGGGTCATGTGGTCAGCATGACTAAACCGTTTCTGGCGCAATGGAACAACGTGACAGAAGCCAGAGTGCATGGAAACGCCGTTTACCTTCTCACTGCATTTATCTACTTGCACTGGTATGCTTTTGAACTGCTAGGTTGGCAAGAGCTGGGACAGAGCAAAGGGAGCTCACCCCATTGTGCAGATTTGAACCGCAGACCTTCCGATAGCCAATCCCAAAAAACTCAGTAGTTTAGACCACAGCGCCACCCACTTCAAGTGTACACAGTACAATGGTACCTCGGGTTACAGATACTTCAGGTTACAGATGCTTCAGGTTACAGACTCCGCTAACCCAGAAATATTACCTCAGGTTAAGAACTTTGCTTCAGGATGAGAACAGAAATTGTGTGGCGGCGCAGGAGGCCCCATTAGCTAAAGTTGTACCTCAGGTTATGAACAGTTTCAGGTTAAGAACAGACCTCCAGAACGAATTAAGTTCTTAACCTGAGGTACCACTGTATCGGCACCTCTTTTTTGTTGTTGTTAAAAAGTGTGGCACTTACTGTAACAACTTCATGGTGAGTACCGGCACCTGTTTTTCTAGAAAAAAGCACTATTACCAACTGCTTAATTCAGAGCCATGTCCTTCAATAACAGTAACTGTTCGACTTTGAGGCCCTGTAAGGTGTTTGAAAGGGATGTGTGAGGCTGAAGCTGGAGAGGACCTGTATACTTAAATCTCTCTCCTTTTAAAGTATTACATTCTCTTCTCCAAACTACTAAAGTGAATCACACCTGAGCTAACAATGGGGGGAAATGTGAAGACTGAAACCTGGTTTGCTTTGTTTTTAAGCCCAATTTGTCTAAAATATAATCTCCTCAGGAGCTATGCATGAGATAGTTCAAAGTCATTTAGTTGCTGCTTGACTCCACGGTGCTCACAGTTGGGAAAGTAAAAAAGGGGGCATTTCCCACTCATTTAATGCTTGCATTGTACAGATGTTGAATTCAGAAGCTGGGGAGTTCACTTTTCTTCCAGTTCAGGCCCAGCTTTGCTGTTACACAGGAAGAGGTGGCACGCCTCAGGTGACACTCTTTGGAGCGCAAGCAGAAAACAATGATGTGCCAGTGATGGAGCTTATTCTACTGAACATTAGAGGGATTGTGAGTTCTGCCCTAGGCATCCATATGTGATGAGCTGTCTTTTTTCCAAATTAATTAAGGCAGTGTAAAAGTGTGTGTGATGCATGTCCTACCCCAGTTTCTAAGAGCATTTCAGGAAAAAGAGATTTAATTAACTCCAGTAATTTGATATGCATGGTTTTCACTCATATATATATATATATATATATATATATATATATATACTTTATTAAACAAGAAAACATCATAAAATGCACACAAAACAAACATACAGTACATTCTATAAGAAAAAAGAAAAAAGAATTTAATTATATGTAGAATAAAAAATAGCAAAAGAAAAGAAACTTCTGACTAAACCCATTGTACTATTTTGCATTCTTTTTTTTACAGTTTCTTATTAATATTTTTCTATATTTTAGTTTAAACTTTTTCTAACACTTCCTTATATCACAAGACTCATTCAATATCTGCCAGGAAACATTTATTATCATAGTACCCTTTGAGATATTCCTTAATTATTATTCATTTCTTATTAATATCTTGTGTTGAGTTTCCTCTCCCTTTTTTTATTATAAGATATTTATTAAGATATTCAAAATATTACAAGACAAAAAAATAAAAAAAATAAAAAGAAAAATACAAAATAAAAACAGTTAAAAACAATTCCTTCCTTCCATTACTTAGCCTTCATTTGCTTATTTCCAGGACCTCCTCACACCTCCCTTTTTTGTATTCCAATTCAGTTATTCGTTCAACAAATCCCTCCCCTCTTTATGTATCCTAATCGTTAATCATAAAGTATTTGTAATTTTAGATTTTTACCTATTAATAAACCTTTTTTTTTTCATATTCCCTTATAACATTTCGGCTAAAGACCACTTAGTTTCTATCCGACATCATTCTAACATTCATTAATTTTGCAATATTTCTGTAAATGGTCTTTAAACTTTTTCCAATCTTCTTCCATCGGCTCTTCTCCCTGGTCTCGGATTCTGCCAGTCATTTCCGCCAATTCCATATAGTCCATCACCTTCATCTGCCATTCTTCCAAGGTGGGTAGATCTTGTGTCTTCCAATACTTTGCAATGAGAATTCTTGCTGCTGTAGTAGCATACGTAAAAAAGTTCTGTCCTTCTTTGGCACCAATTGGCCGACTATGCCCAGGAGAAAGGCCTCTGGTTTCTTCAAGAAGGTATATTTAAATACCTTTTTCAATTCGTTATATATCATCTCCCAGAAAGCCTTGATCCTTGGGCACGTCCACCAAAGGTGAAAGAATGTACCTTCATTTTCTTTACATTTCCAACATTTATTATCGGGCAAATGGTAGATTTTTGCAAGCTTGATTGGTGTCATGTACCACCTGTATATCATTTTCATAATATTCTCTCTTAAGGCATTACATGCCGTAAATTTCATACCTGTGGTCCACAACTGTTCCCAGTCAGCAAACATAATATTATGTCCAAGATCTTGTGCCCATTTAATCATAGCAGATTTCACCATTTCATCCTGAGTATTCCATTTCAACAGCAAGTTATACATTTTTGACAAAATCTTAGTTTTGGGTTCTAACAGTTCTGTTTCCAATTTTGATTTTTCCACCTGGAAACCAATTTTCTTGTCCAAATTGTATGCCTCCATTACCTGATAATAATGAAGCCAGTCTCGCACTTTGTCTTTTAATTTCTCAAAACTCTGCAGTTTCAGTTTGTCTCCTTCCTGTTCCAAAATTTCCCAATATTTCGGCCATTTGGCCTCCATATTGAGCCTTTTCTGAGCCTTTGCTTCTATCGGTAACAACCACCTTGGGGTTTTGTTTTCAAGTAAGTCCTTATATCTTATCCAGACATTTAACAATGCTTTCCTGACAATATGGTTTTTAAATGCTTTATGTGCTTTAACCTTGTCATATCACAAATATGCATGCCACCCAAAAACATTATTAAAACCTTCTAAGTCCAAAATGTCTGTGTTCTCAAGAAGCAGCCATTTTTTCAACCAGCAGAATGCTGCTGATTCATAATAAAGTTTAAGGTCTGGCAGGGCAAATCCACCTCTATCCTTTGCATCGGTTAATATTTTAAATTTTATTCTGGGCTTCTTGCCCTGCCAGACAAATCTAGAAATGTCTCTCTGCCACTTCTTGAAACATCTTGTCCAAGATTTGCAATGATTGAAACAGAAATAACATTCTTGGCAATACATTCATCTTTATAACAGTTTCCTCTCACTGTCCCAGTTCTCCTTGCTAGC